GGGGGGGGGTACTCTGGTTTCGGATCTTCGGGGATTTGGGAAATTATGTTGAAAGACATGCTGTGTTATCGTTTAAAAACTTCACTTCAGCAAACAGTCTTCCAAAAGAGGTGAGTGAGGGGGTCTGCTGAAGAAGAGGGTGGGGCAAATGTATCAAACACAAGTGAATCAGTCTTCTATGGTAGTGGTTTGCAAAGACGTCTAAGGAGTCAGAGCCCTTTAAAAAAAAGAAAAGTCTTTTCATCATAAGTCAGAAAATTTCAAGTCAAGCTGCCTCACTAGAAGAACGTCAATGTCAAAGCTATGTAGCTTGTAATATTTGGAGTGTAGTCAAGGTGTAAACAGCTTTACCCGACACGGGTCCATGCTCTATTATATTTCTTTTGCTGCAGTGTGCTTGTGTTGAAGCATGGTAGCTTTTAAAAATTAATTTCCCGTTTGTCTTGCAAGTGTTGAGCAATTCAGAAACATTCGACGGATTCAACCAAAGAAAATAAGGGTTTTAAAAATATCTAAAAATCAAAAAATAAAACAGAAATAATGTTCGTCATTCGAAAAGAAAAAGTAGAACCAAGACACCAGCCTGTGGTTCTTTGATATTATGCGTAGATATACAAGGACACCACTTAAGCGAGGATTGTGATAATCCACGGGGACTCGGGCTGTTGGTAAACCATAGGTGTAGTACGTCCAGTGTTGGAGGCAAACACTCGAAGATAAACAATAATATAATTATCAATTGATTTATTGTTCAACACAGTATGTTCATAACTTGCATTCTCACATTGTAGTATTTTGCCTCCAAACCTATGTATGCCTTTTACCAAGAAGTATGAAGCTTAGTACGTACCGGTATCCTAACCTGTGCTGTCCCCGTAGAATTATGCAAATTTTGATGGCCAAATTATGAGAAAAAAAAAGCAAAATTATGCAAAAATCATGCAAGTTACCGTAACACCATTCGCGACATGTATGCCACTTTTTCAGCAAGAATGTTCATGATTTTCCTGTTTTATGCACAGAAAAATTGAAAACAGAACATATCAGTATCAGTTATGTGTTGTGTACATGTATTTGGAAAGAAAACAATACACATCAGTCAGAAAAAAAACAACCCAAAAATATAATCTCTGTAACTTTCAGCTGTAGATCAAGTCTAGATTTCTAGATCTCTATAGAGGAAAGAAAAATGTTTTTTAAAAAATAATAATAAAAAAATAAAAACTTTTCATGGATTGAAAAATTGAACATCCCAACCATAATAAAGATCTTCAAACAAGGGAAATAACCAACATGTCACTTAAATGATACTTATTACGGTGATTACTTCCCTTTAGTCACATAACGAGGCGTTAATTAATTGTGGGGGGAAAACGTGATAAAACGCGGGGAAATAATGTTGCAGAATTTTCAAAAATCGCATAATCCTGCGGGGACAGCCTGCAACAAGGCAGACAGCTCAAAGGGTCACTGTCCAGGTGGAATAGAGACTTGTGCTTGAGTTCACGTTGTGTCAGTCGGAATCGCTGTTGTTTTGTGAACAAAGAGACCGCGTGATTCTATTATATAATGTTTACAATAATCAATTACGCTAGGGCTACGGAAAAGGGCTCAGCACTGAGTTGATCCCACCGGTGACTGCGGTGCAGCGGTTATGCGTTTTAGCGTCGCACACGGAAGACCGGAGTTCGTTTCTTGTTTGGGGAGTATTTTTATAATAAAGTTTCTTGATCTTTGTGCTGGGACGTTATACCTTCTCAGATTGGGTTTGCCTTGACAGACAGAGTCGAAGCCTGTGCACATCCTAGATGATTTAATTTGTGTTGATGTGGCCGTAAAACCACGCACGTTTACTATTTTTCTAAATTGACCTCATGTTCAGTGTACATTCCTCCGTATTGGACACTATATTGTAGCAATCTCAATCTCATAAATGTTATTCGAACTCCTGCATAGTATCTGAGGTTAATGTCATGTAAATCCTTGAACTTAAATATTCGTTCGAAAGCTGATTTTGTCACATTTGAAAATTTATTCATTATCATCATCACCAATGCGTTTCACCCCTGGCAGGGTATAGGCCACATACAAGCTCCATCCACTTATATATGTCCTTAGTAATCCTTCCTAGCTCGTTCCGAGGGATCTTCCTCTCTCTCTCTCATGTCCCTTTCCACAAATCTCCTCCATGTTTCCCGTGGCCTATCCCTGCTTCGTGCTCCCTGTGGGTTCCACAGCAGTGACTGCCTTGTGATGTTTCCGGTGGGCTTTCTTAAAAGGTGTGTCCCATCCATCGCTACTTTCTTAGTCCTATTCCTACTTCTATATCCTTTTGTCCTGTCCTTTCCCACAGTTCTTCATTTCTTATTCTATCCTGCTACCTGATTCTCAGGATGCTCCTCATATATCTGTTGACAAAAGTCTGGACTTTATACAGGACTGTCTTTGTTGTCTTCCAAGTTTCGCTGCGGTAGAGGAGCACAGACTTGACAATGGAGTCGAATCCTGGCGCTCAGTGAGATGTTGCTTGCTTTCCAGACTTTTGATAATGATTGAATGCTGACCTTGCCTTGGTGGTTCTTGCTTTTACATCTGCCTCGGTACCATCTACCATCAATGACACTTCCATGGTAGGTAAAGGGGTCCACTTCTTCCAGGGGAGTGTTTTCCACAGTCACAGCTGGGCTTGAAACTTTTCCTAGCTTCAGTACTTTCGACTTGCCCGGATGTATACGTAGGCTAACACTCCTTGATAGGGTGTTGAGTTTTTTGTCTTTTCTCGCATCTAAGCATATGTGTGAGAGAGCAGTCCAATGTCATCGAAGAAGTCCAAGTCGTCCAGCTGTATTCCACTGTATTCCATTGCGCTTGCCTCTGGTGGCTTCTTTCATGACCCAGTTAATTGCCTGTTTGAAGAGAAAATGTGAGGTTTCACTCCTGTCTGTACCTGGAATGGTTCTGAGAGTTGTCCTTCGTGGAAGACATGACAGTTTGTTCCATCATAGGTGGCCTTCACAAGTTTGACGATTTTGTCAGATATTCCATAATGCCGTTT